ATTTGGATGATTTGCAATAAGAGAACTAAACGACTCAATATTTAGAGTTTTCTGCTTCTCCTCATATTCTCCAGGACACAGTGCAGAAGGGGATCTTGTTGACAGTCCGTCAGGATGGAGAAGGCTCCGTTTGCCAAACCTGAGCAAACAGCCTTGCAACAGTTTAAGGACTCTCTCATCCACTTGTTTGTCCTCCCTTGACAAGTCTGCCAACAAGAATGAGTATGCTTGGGCCTTAGGCAGTCAGGGTCACTGCACTCCTGTTTTTCACCTGAATAACAGCATAATATTTCACTATTGGGCGTTTATTGAGGTCAAGATCGATGGATGAAAAGCAGAAAAGCACAAGGAAGCCACACATTTCCTTTATAATAATGTCAACTTGTGATTCCTTTGTCTTAGGAAACACCTTTTTTTTTTTTTTTTTTGCTATCAAAATTTAATGTCAAATTTTAAAGGGTTCAATTTGTCTTACTTTATTAAACCTGCAATCCTTAAGAAAAACAGTGGCTTTCTACTCCATGAAATATGTGCACAAACAATAAGTACATCAAAAGCCTATTGCTTGCTGGCCAATTTCCATATAACCTAATATGGTTAAGAAAACGTTTGACTGGATCCCAGAGCCGAGTGCCAAACTTAACAACTCTGCAGTAAGCAGAGTGCCACAGAGCCCTCTGCTTATCCTCACTGTAATTTCACTTTGGTGCAGTTACTACCTATTCACATGAACTAGACCATAATTGTACTTCTACACAGTTAACAAAACACAGACACTTTTGCTCTCTGTCCCTTGCCAAAGGAGATTAACACTAGCTGCCGTACAAGGCTTTTGGAGATGGAAGCTCCTTGGAGTGCTTTCCTTTCGGGCTAGATATATTAAGGAAATCCTGGGTTTCCCAAGGATATAAAAGAACATGCACTGTATGAGGCACTCTGGTGTTTATGTAAACATCCCAGAAAGAGGATGTTTACATATTCTTGCTCCAGTGCAAGAATACACTTTCTATATCTACAGCTAATGTACACATTAGAGGTTTACCAATATCCAATCTATATGAAGTCTTTCTGGTTACTGCTGCTGTTTATGAAACTTGGCAATGTGCAGATTGCTTACTTGTTTCCATCTGAGCCCACCACAAAAAAAAAAAAAACTTTGTCCACTTGTGTTTCTTGCATTTCTTCCTTCTGTCATATTTCATTTAGCAGCAAGGTTTAGGATTTTTTTAATAGATGAGAGAAAAAAGGGTGACAACACAAATGAAAGACTGACTTTGATCATGACATTAAAGTCACACTTCAGTCCTCTCACTCTCAAATCTAACACTGCTGAAAGCATTGTGAAGACTGATAACAGGGATTTGGTGACAGGAAAAATGGATCACTGAGCTTATATCAGCAAAACAAGTCACTTTAGGCATTAGAAGAACAATGCCACCTTGATTATGCAAAAGGGTTAGACAGCCTCTCCCAGATCATTTCCTATGAGATCATACACAGACTTGGAAACAGAGGGGACTGGTTTCAGGAAGTTTGGAAGCCTTTTATGGATTATATTAACAAGGCACAGGCTGTTCCCAAAAAGTGATTGTACATCAAATTCCAGTACTGCCACATGCCCTTGGTTGGAATGACTTTAGCGTATATGATAGTACTAACAAACATTAGGGAAGCAGCAACTCTGTCATTCAATCCCCGTGATTTGTTTTTTTATTACTATTTTTGAAAGGAAGGGGTACTAGTTACATTTTTCTAGGTGTGGACGGCATTCAGTTAAAAAAAAAAAAAAAAAGTAGATTAAACAATATGTAAAATAATAAAATTCAGGAAAAAATGTTGAAATTAGTAAATGACTGGTAGTTTTGACTAGTCTACAATGAGATATTTGTTAGGTTCCCTAAGCTCTAAAGCATCCTATAGAGGTTAGCCACAACTTTGTAAAAAAGCTAGATAACTGTCTTACATAGGCAGAAAAAATGCTACACTACAAGATTTTGGAATGATACTCAATTAACTATTAGAGGTTCATTTTGACTTTTCCTCTACAGTAATAGAAAAATATGTGTCTATACAAAACTACATCCATGTTTGAAAAATAACTTCTTTATGCTATTTGAGATCTTAGCTAATGGATTTAGTGTCAAATGCATTTTTCAGTCAGTTTAATTCCCATTCTTCCCCAATGCAGAAAGTTAGAAAGAAAAACAGTTACTGCACTCCTCTAAAAATTAATGATGTGCATTTTCTAATTTTCAGAATTTCACCTCTAGCTATCATTGCCCTGGCAACGTGTATGAACAAGGCAGATGCCTCATGTACCAGGACTGTCCTGTGGTTCCAGGCAGACCCATGTGTCCATAAGCACACCTCAAAGGTGCTGACAGTTTGGAAGTGTCAAGGCATTACAAAGACTCTGCCCTTCAGCCTCTTTAGTGAGGCAATACAAGGTTTATGCATCCCTTCAGTTTCACGTTAATTCTTCAGTGATGCAGAAATTGCATGCTGAGCTCTCTAAGGCCTGCAACTGCAAGATGCTGAGTTTCACTATGGGAGCACTGATATTACCAGATTTCATTCTCAGTTGAAAGTAATGCAACATAATTGTTTTTCAAGCAATGGGTCTCAAAGAAAAGTAATAGTCTTCCTTTCTGTTTGCAGACAGTGGAAGAGAGGCATGGATAAATGCAGTTATTTGCCCAAGCCCAAGCCATTCATGAGCAGAGCCTCCTGCACCCCAGTTAAGTGCTTCTCTCCACCAGGTTGTTCTTTCTCCTACCATCTGCACAGGTTGGATGTGGATATAATCTACATCACTGTGGCTGTCGCTGCAGAATCAAAACTCTTAGAATAATTATTTCCCTTGGGACATACTGCTGTTTCTTATCCAAAATAAGGCATCTTTGTTCTTCATTGGAAGGAAGGGAATTAAGAGGCACCTGAGCAAAGGAATGAAAAATTCACAATACATCAAATATGATTATTTGCTATCTGCTTAATGATAACTCTGTGCCAAAAAGGATGCAACAATTTTAAAGACAGCTATTGCCTTTTCTCAGCTTAGGGAACAATAACCCCTGATGCAATCTCCCAGGAATTCATCCTTAGTTGCAAATAACGATGGACAAGGCTCTAAATAAATGTCAGAAGGACCCACATCTTTTGCCCTGAAAATAATAAGACCTTTGGCCTTAACATTTCTTTGGAAAGTGCTTCAGAGAAGACTGTTACTCTGCAACAATGTTTCCTTCCATTAACATTTCCTCTTAAAATATATGGCCCAAAGGAGGAACACTAGACCTCAAATATACCACAAATATGGACAAGTCTGCCTGCAAGCATTTGGAGGCTGGGAATTTGCCCAAGACATTATCCTTACAGAACTAACTAGCTCTCTGTTAGCCAGCATAGTGAACAACCTCAAAAAATAATTCCACTTCATTGGGGCAGCTCACCGACTGTATAATACATAGTTTTCCACTTCTTAAGGATAAATTATTCCTGACACCTGGAACTGAAACCTCTACACTTCTACCTGCAAATCAGGTATGTGTGGGATCCAATACTGTCCAATGATCGCTTATAGGTTTCTCCTTCTGGTTTTAGCTCTGTCTCCCCTCATCTCCCACCCCAGGCTGCGATAGCCAGAGCTCAGAAGAGCAGGCACATTACCGCTGACCACACAAAGTTAGTGTGCTGTTAGGGCTCTGACAAAGACAGACAGTGGGAGAGGGCTCTGGTGAACTCTAGTTATCACAAAAGGCTGACTAGAAAATTGGCAACAATGGGCAACAAGATTCGAAGGCAAGGCTTTGTCTGCTCCTCACTCACTAGAAGCAATACAGACAGAGCCGTCAGCTCTGCCATGTACAGCACTGTGACTTCTTAGGATGCTCACCAAAAAAAAAAAAAAAAAATCAAGATCAGGTCTGTGATACTCCTTGTCCAAGCCCTTGACAGTGGTCCTCACACTTCAGAGAGGTCTTCAGCAAACTCCACCATAAGGATGATTAGCCATTCAAGGCAAGTCATTTCCTCATCAATGCTGGCTTCGTCGCTTAAGTTTTAAATCCCTTTTAATTGTTTTCCTTAGTGATCACTACTGTAAGTCTGCACTGTATTGCTATTTTATAGAAATGTCCCATCCTTTTGGATCAGTGTGGTAATAAAATTTGCTACATGACGTAACTTCCACCCATGTAGTTAAAACAGTAGAGTTCCCTCACTTGGAGCAATTTGCACTAAACTGCATTTGTAAAACAAGTAAAGCCTGGGAAGGTTTATTATTAGCATTACTCCTGTCAAGTGTTGAAGCAACAATCTTTTGAAAGGCAAATCTCTTCCCACCTGGAAAGCAGAAATATTTTACATGTACCTATCAATCTAAAACCAGAACACCCAGAGAATGTTGTCATTGGCTTTGATAACATATTCAGCAATATTACCTTAATGACATATAATAGTCTCCATATTAATAATTTTTCGATAGGAGAAAGACAAGTATAGCTATTAAGCTGAAATAATTACCTGTGTACACAACTGATGTGAGCATAAAAAGATGGCCATGCATATGTTTAATGTACACAGATAAATGAGAATTAGTCTTGCAAAAGGAAGAAATGCTCCTTTCCAAATTCACATAGTGTCCAGGGACCACAAGAGCCACAACGTGGAAGAATTTCTCTGGTCTAGATTATCATGCACGTACCTACAATCCTTGACATACAAAACACCATCAGAAGGAAAAGTTACGTGGAAAACTCCCACATACCCAGTTTCTGACAGTCAATTCAGCCAAGGACTACCAGAAAGTATCTTCCCATTGCATTGAATTAAGCTGTATACTAACCAGCCCAGAACAGTCTATTTCCACACCAGACCTTGAGTTTTGATGAAAACTAAGTTAAAATCATAGTGCTGCTCACAATAATAATTCTCAAATAAACAGTAAATACCTCCAGAAAAGAAAAACACACAATATAAACAGTAATAGTATATCTCACCAGTTATGATGTCCCTGAGCCTGGAAGATGCTGCCTCTTCAGCTCACGAGTAACCAAAGGATTATCACAGGCACTGGAAAGACAAAGTTGTGGGTTTATGGGTGGGAATGAAGAGTGCACAAAAAACGGAATAGTTTTACAGTAAGGATGATTTAAAAAGCAGAAAATCAGATCTTAAGCCTTGCTATGGTTACTAGGTACTGTTGTACCATTGAGTAAACTGGATTGCAGCTCCTTAATTTTCTCCAGCAACTCCTCCGTGAGGAACAAGGAAATCCCAACTGAGAAAGGGTAGTTCTGGCAAATTCTGCATTATGCATATCTGAAGTCCAATTAAGGGAAAAGAGTGGCCTCCACCTGCAGGGAAAGCTACTCCATGCACCTGATCCTGCTCCCATGACTAACCCAATCGCAACAGAATGCAACCCTGAGAACACCTTGGGAAGCATCAGTCTCAAAGCTGAGAATTTTAATAGCTGAACTGCAGCAATTAATATGGATCCAAACCTGATTATTCCCTCATGATTCATTTTCTTAAAAATATCTGAGGGAATTCCCTGTTTGTTTTGGCTATAGACCAGCATGGTTCCTTGATTGTGGGATACCTCCAGTCAAAGATGCAAAAATGTTTGGCTTTTTCTGCATAGCCACTGGAGTGCATTTACACAGTTGTCAGTGGCAGCTTGTTTGTCTTTACAGGTACTTTGTGACTATTAAAGCAATAGAGCAGCCACCTCCAAGTAATAGCTAGGATGAATGATAACAGTTTGGGCTGTGTGCGGTAAGACTGGAAATTGCCTCTGAGAGATGCCTCAGCAGGAGGACTGGAGGGAGATTCTTGGGGAATAGATATGGAAATCCCACATGGAATGAGGTAAACCATCTGGGAAACTGCTCAGGGGTGCTAGGGGCTCCCGTTCTCTTTCATCCATAAAGGTGGCAAAAAGACAAAACTACAAATATCTGCACACCCAAAAAACAAAAGACTGGTATCTCAAAGTCAAACGCAGCTTTATTTTTCTATTGAAGAAAGATATCTTAAAAATGAGCTGGCTTCACAAACAACCTTTAATTAGACAAATACAAGGCATACCTTTCTTCTCCACCTAATGAACACAATCAGCATATGCGTTCAAGAGTATTAGATTAATAGAGATCAAGACATTTGACTAAGCTCTACAAGACCACCTTGGAAATTATATGATGCTTCTTTCAGTGATGGTATGTATTTTTGCACTGTTCTTAATCCATAAACAGGGGTTTTGTGGGGTGGTACTTACCTGAGAGAATTTGTGGGGCTTTGCTTATAATCCTATACTGCCTGTCAAATTAGTTTTTTTTAAGATAGCATGTGATGGAAGGATGGGAGAATGAAAATCTCAAAAATAAATACAGTACTGTGCTCCACCTTGACTGAATGCAACTTGTACCCTTATTGCTTTACCAAAGAAAAAAAAAATGAAACACTTCTGTTGGTCCAAGAACTGCCAAGACAGAAAACAACAGCCATGTCCAGCTGAGGCAGCAGTTCCTTCAATAAACTAATCTGGACCTTCCTAAAACAGCATTGCAGTAAGTGCTGAAGTACCCCATGCTTTCAGAGGTGCGCCAAATCCAGGATAGCTAGGCAAAGGGATACAGATTCTCAGAGCATCACAGATGCTTCTGAGCATGTTTCTGGATTGTCTCAGCTTCAGTTAATCTCCTATTAAAAGCAATAGCAGTTGAATAGCTACAGGCTGGGAGAGGAATGGCTGGAGAGCTGCCAGGCAGAGAAGGACCTGGGAGTGATGGTGGACAGTCGGCTGAATATGAGCCAGCAGTGTGCTCAGGTGGCCAAGAAGGCCAACGGCATCCTGGCTTGTATCAGAAACACTGTGACCAGCAGGGCTAGGGAGGTGATCGTCCCCCTGTACTCGGCTCTGGTGAGGCCGCACCTCGAGTACTGTGTTCAGTTCTGGGCCCCTCGCTACAAGAAGGACATCGAGGTGCTTGAGCGGGTCCAGAGAAGGGCGACGAAGCTGGTGAGGGGCCTGGAGAGCAAGTCCTATGAGGAGCGGCTGAAGGAGCTGGGCTTGTTCAGCCTAGAGAAAAGGAGGCTCAGGGGTGACCTTATCACTCTGTATAAGTATATTAAAGGAGGCTCTAGCGAGATGGGGGTTGGCCTGTTCTCCCATGTGCCTGGTGACAGGACGAGGGGGAATGGGCTAAAGTTGCGCCAGGGGAGTTTTAGGTTAGATGTTAGGAAGAATTTCTTTACTGAAAGGGTTGTTAGACATTGGAACAGGCTGCCCAGGGAGGTGGTTGAGTCACCATCCCTGGAAGTCTTCAAAAGACGTTTAGATGTAGAACTTAGGGATATGGTTTAGTGGGGACTGTTAGTGTTGGGTCAGAGGTTGGACTCGATGATCTTGAGGTCTCTTCCAACCTAGAGATTCTGTGATTCTGTGATTCTGTGATTCTGTGATTCTGTGATTCTGTGAATCTGCTAATCCAGAGAAAAATCTAGAGCCATCTTTGCACCAATAAAACACAAAAATACTCTGGTCATTTATAAAATCCAAGGACTGACATGGCTTTCAAGAATCATGCAGCTTCCCTAAGTGATCCAGTTCTTTCAGGAGTAATTCAGATTTTGCATTGCTTACTCCACATAGTTCGCTCTAGCCATGAAATACAGAAATGCACTATCATCTACATATGATGAGGAAAATGAAATCTAAAGGCGCAATATAGCAGAGCTAAGCAGCATTAACTTCTGGAACTTCCTGGTTGCTGAGATATTTCAGAGATAAAGCTCCAAAGGTGGACATTAGTCTTAATCAGAAGAACATCTAATTTCCATTGCTTTCATTTAGGCTTGTTTCCTGTGATACGTTAACGTCAGCACCTCATTCTTAAGTGCCCAGATTCACAAGGTGCTTAAGCATGCTCCTAACCAACCAAACAAGATCACTCACCTACTTAAAGTTAGGCACACGTTTGTTGAGGCAGAGCCAAAATATACATGCACATACATATACCTGACCATATTTTTCTTCCATAGGCTGTTTCTATTCTGTAGTCCAAAATGCAGTAGCAATATATATATATAAAATAAAGTTTCATTATGCCACATCTTCAAGAATTCCTCAGTAAAACTCAGTGACTATTATACATAATATAGTTTCTAGTTATGATGGAATTTACAATGCATAACATCTGTGCCCACAAAGATACAAAAACCTGAATTCTCTCCTAAAAAGCAGCAATAATGAAACATCTCTCTGAAAGACCTTGCAAATTAGTGACCACTAATGACTAGGCAGGATATGAAGCAGAAGAACAGTTTATCCACTTGTAAACATACTTTTACTGCTTATACCATATAGCCTCTAAAATATTAAATGCAAAAGACACCATCAACAAGTTAGTTTGCTGGAGAATGAACAAAATTGATTAAATTTGCACAATTTCTGTATGCCATATGTACTGAAAAGCTGAGAGGGCATCAAAGATTTATCTTGCATTTCTTTTCTAAATAAGGCTAAACTATGAGACAAATGGATTTCCCAATCTATTTCTTCAGTCTTTCCTATAGTCCATCTCACCAGTGTACCTACTTACATACTGACCAGCTATGAACAAAACTAAAATTACTAGGCTGGAGAAATAGAGGAATGGGTACAAAACCCAAACAGCAGAAGAATATAAACTTTCTCTTCCTCTTCATGTGATGAGTACTACCTTTCTTCCATAATTTTACAGCTAGAGATAGCTAATTCCAAACACAGAAACAGACTATTTATATTTTTATAAGCAAACTATATCTTTGTTTTTCCATTGTTCTTTTCCAAGATTAAATTATGTTCTTCCTAGGAAGGAGGAAATGATCATTTTCCAGAAAATAAAGCCATTACAGCTTAGATCACAATGCATTAATCTATCACAGTCTAATATTTTTGAGAAGTTCATACCATTTCAATTTTATTTGACTACTATGATATGCAAGCTGGATTCTCTAGGTTGTATTAGCATAGTCTCCCTCTCCCTTCCTCACAAATAAATAAATGGTACACTGTAAAATAATAATTAAAAAAAAAAAAAAGTCTTCTGAGCCAGTCCTTAAAACCCTAGGGTGCCTGTAAATTGTTCGGATTAATTTAGAGCATGACATTTTAATGATTTTTAGGCCTTTCGGGTGACATGAATGAACATGAGCTCTCATTTACTGTTACACTGATGCTTGTTTTATATCAGCACAACCCAACTTGCGTGAGTATAGGACATGCAAAATCAGGCCTGAGTTCTTAGGAAGAAGAGCTGCAGGGCTTCACACACATCTCATTTCACAAATACTGCGGCCTAGGGACTGGCCCCTTCCCACGTTGGTACATAATAGGATTAAGATGCTACATGTTTATTGGAAAGTAGGATGAGGCGCTGGAGTCTCTCGAAGCAGGGGAATCCTACTGGGCCTGTTCTGTGGTTTTAAACATGGGAAGGAAAACTTAAATGATAGATCCTGCAATAGCAAACAAAAATGATGGCACCAAGAACTACCTAGCTTCTCTCTCTTAGGAAGGGATTAACCATCTTTTCTATAACCCAGATAAGGAAAAATGCCATACCCTTTGAATTTTTGTTTGGCCAAAATGTTGAGGACAACTCCCCCATTAGGGCACAAGCATTTGAATATAGAAAACAAACATGAATTTCTGAATATCCTTGGAACCCTTGTTCAGGGCTACTAAAGCAGGCAGCATGAACAGCAGCCAAGCAAGTCATCAAAACCATATCAGGTATGGCATTGATTCAGAGGAAAGCAACATATGCACTAAATCACTTTATTTTCAAGCAATTCCAGCTGCAGACATTCCCTGGGAATTCCTTGGTTTGGTTTTATCCAATGTCTGTGGTCAAAAGACCTGATAACCCAAGTGGACTTAGGCTGTAGACAGTTTAAATGAGGCAAATGGCAAAAATATCTTCCAATGCAACCAGTAACACCAAATTGAAATGCTCAATAGGGTAGTCATCCTTGGATGCAAATTTCCAACTCTTTCGTATCACCAGGCTGAAGACAGATGATGA